CTAGTTGAAACTAGTTTATACTGAATGTCTTTGTTAAAACCCGTTTTGTCGAGTTAAAACTAGAATTTACTGCTAGTCAAAAATGAATTTGAGTTAAAACTAGTTTTAACTAGACAAAACGAGTTTTAACAAAGACATTCAGTATAAACTAGTTTCAACTAGACAAAACGGGTTTTAACAAAGACATTCAGTATAAACTAGTTTCAACTAGTTAAAACGCGTTCTAACTAAAAACGGGTTTTGACTGTAACATATATACGGATTTATACAACTACAGTTAAACTTATACATTTACTTTGCTTAATGTCGTATTGTTAATTTTAGAGTCAAAGCTTTTAATTTCTTTATTTATAGTATTTTGATATTCTGGGATCAAAAAATAATGTTGTATGGTTTTAAGATAGTCTACTTTTGATTTTTTTCAAACATGTTTCTAACGTAGGCTAATTTTTTGAATTTAATTTCATTACTGTTGATATTAACAAGTTTATTTCATTCCTACTTATTTAGCCATTTCAGTAATAGATGCGTAGAGTAATAAATTTTTAAAAATTTATTTGACCTATATTTCTTCCTCTGACCTTAATATACGTTGTTCTGTTTTTAATTTTTGTAACGTTCCATCTTAAAAATATTCTCTTTCACATATAGTTGTACTTCTGATTTATTATTTTTGGGAGTTGACAATCTTTTAAAAATGTCTATAAATGCAGAAATCATGTCGTCCATGAACGTATGAGTATATTCAAACTGATATCATATGTTTCAACAAAGCGAAATAAGGATTTAACCTATGGAGAATAGTTTTTACATTAGTTTTTTCATTTCAAATATTAACAAGTTTTTATGGGATTTATTTTACTTCATTCAAAAAGACATAGTAGAAAAAAACAATACAGAAAACGCGATGAAAACAACAATTATAGTGGATGAAAGAAACTGGGTCTGAAAGGTACATTTAGCAATATCTATCGCCAAAGGATATTTCACGCTAAAGATTTTTTTTATTATTTTTCTTCTATTATTTATATTATTTTATGTAGAGACGAACTTTTATTGC